TTGAGGCATTGATAGCAATGGGGTTGAAGCTCATTATATAAGTAATTGGTGATGGATGCCCAACCTATGTGAAGGAAGATCCCAGGAATTAGGTTGAAAGGGTAAAAAACAAGTTACTAAATGACTTAGGAAAGCACTATGAATTTGTGTCATATTACAAATGCTCACTGAAAGACGTGGAGGATGAGTATATGACTCTTAATCAATTCTTACAAAATTAAGCCATGTTGCAATGCACACTAACTAATCGACCTAATTGAGTGTAAAGTGTAGTCGCTTCTATAAGAGCTTTAAAGGATGACTCTCTAAAACACTCATATTCTAACACAAAAGAATCACTAAGGAATTAGTGGGTTAGGTTGGTTGGCAGATTAGTTAGTTACAACAAAGAGGAAAGGTTGAAGTAGTCTAACTCTACCCATACTCTATAGCATAATTTGTCATACATAAATATTGATTGAGGTTTAAAAGACATCAACAAGAATACTTCTCTCACCTTGATGCCCAGATTATTCTTGTATTTGGAATCTTGTGGGGGATTGTTGGATTCTTGTTTTGGAGGGAATATTCAAATTACAAGAATCTAAACTCCTTCTCTTTTTGTTTTGTTTTTGTTTCCTTTGGATTTTGGTTTTTTATCCTGTTGTAACCTCTCTTGAAAGCATGTGATGGCTTCCTGTCTGACATTACTTGAAAAAAGAGGTGGACTTGAGTACATGTGCGCACCGAGTCGAGTCGGGCTAGGGCGTGAGTGTGGGTGTTGGTGTGTATGTGCGCCACACCATATCTCATTTTATGCGCGCTTTGACTGTTTGGTTTCTTAAATGACCCTTTTTGTGACTCTTCATTTTTTGCTCTATGTCTCTTCGAATAGGTGCCTTGTACATGTTTCTAGAGAGACATATCTCTCTATAAGGACACCTCTGTTCATTCAGGTGACTAAGAGCACTCTATAAATAGAGTGTGGATCTACCTAGTGGTACACACAGAACAAAACACAATCACAGTCCTCTATCCATCATTTTTCTCCAAGCATCTTCAATTGATGATTCGCAGAGGTCTAATAAGTGACTACACATTTACTAAGAGCTTATGGGTTGTTTTATCTTGAAAACCAGTTTACAATCATTCGGCTACACTATAAGGAGCAAATGCGATTTTAAGGAGAATGACCAGGTGGCACGACTCAACCCATTTCATACTATAATTTTCTCAATTGCTATCAACTTTTAGCATTAGCTCTGCAACAATGTTGCACTTTCAGTTCAAAAAGCATTGAATGATAAGTTCCATTCTCCCTTCTAATTGATATTTTTATAGAAAACCACATCCCAATTGCGTATAGTAAGGTAGAGATGCTTGCTTCACTACTTTTTCTAGAATTATGAGGGATCATTGTGTGCAATTGCATTAAACTAATTAGTACTAACCAATGGGCTATTTGATAAGTCTTTTTTGAAAGATCTTCTAGAAGCTCTGATAGTCAAAAGACGTAGGTGGTATTTGATAGCACCGAATCGACCACTGAACACTGAAAAACTTGCCTTTTCAGCGCTTGGTGGTCGTTCGATTGCACCTCCAAATGTTGCCACCGAACACCGAATACACCTCCGATTTGTTCAGATGGTGAACTACCTCCGAGCCCGTTTGGAAGTAACTCACGAAATAGGATTTCCGGTGTTGTCCCGTTAATATTATGAAAAATCCAAAACTACCCCCACATTCTCAACGCAACCTTAAAACACTTTTTGGATTTTCACTATTGTTTTTCCATTGCTGAACTCAGTAGCAGCCGGCGAGCTCCATCAGCGTTCAAGCTTGAACAAAGAAAGAGGTGGGTTATTTAGTACACTCTACACCGTTGTTCTTCCATCGTTCAACACCTATTTTTTTTTCATTGTTTCACAGATGTCTTGCAAACATCTCCATTGCAAATCAATCAAGGCAATGTTCGGTGGATTTCCTATACAAAGATGTATTTATTATTTTGTTCGTAGTCTTTCATTATACTGTTATTTATAGATTATTGAGTAGCACTTTTGTTTCTTCTCAAAAATTTCTCATTGTTCATTTTACTGCTATATTTATAAATTATTGTCTTTCTTTTCCATTGTTTGTTTTAATGTTATTTATAAATTATTGTATTTCTTCCCCATTGTTTATTATACTGTTATTTATAAACTCCCCCAAGAAGAAATAAACACCAATGTTTCTTCTCAGGAAATCCCCATTGTCTTTCGTTGTAATATTGCTTTATGGAAGGGGATACTCTTGCTCATTAAAATCCATACTTTTCCAATAAAACCTTTCAAATGAGCAACATATGGCATCTGTAATGGAACCTCCACTTTCATGGGAATCCTTTCCCCTTCCATTTTTCCTATATACACTATTTTGGTATTACATTATCCTGGTTCGAATGGACGGCCCATTCTGAAAAAAAAAAAAAAAAAAAAAAAAAAAAAAAAAAAAATTGGTCTGACCATTTGGTCCGGTTCAATTTTAAAAATCATGGTTTCACTGTTTTTTTATTGGTTGGATGTTTTATAGGCATAACACCCCATCAAATTGCTTTTCGCCTCAGGTAAAGTGTGCCACATCAGCATTTCAAAAAATGCCCAATCACTATGTTTCCCCAAATGTTTCATACACATAAATCAAAGTATTTCAGATTTTCTAGTATTTCAACATTATTATAAGAAAACCTGTCTGGGAATTGGAAGAAATAATGGTTGAATCACTTACCCAAATTCGCTATTCTGAAAATGATGTTGCATTTGGAAGCTGCCAAATTCATTTGTAGGGGAATGGACAATGTCAATCTCACGTTGAAGAAGATTTTGTCGAATAGGTTTACTACTATCTCATTTGTGAGCAGGTATGCCAGGTAAAGTATACCATTATTCTTTAATGTTGAGAGGATAAGTCACCATCATTGTGAAACTTTCATGTACTCATTTTATGAAAATATGGATGCAGAAATTGTTAATGACAGAATTGTTAGAAAAACTTCATTCATTAATGTAGGCAATTTCCTAATACTAGTGAGATGGCATTTCCCCATTTGAGATGTGGCCATTCCCTTCCCCTCCCTTACAAATGAGAATCCATTCTAACCATTTTTCATTATGAATTTCTGATTCCAGCCTGAACCAAAGAGATGGAGGAAAAGACTTCAATTATAGTTCTAGAGGATTTTGATTCCAATGCTGATTGTCAATCAAAATTACCAAATGACCCCTAAACCTTTTTCTGTGCTATATTAACCAGAACCGTTTTGGTTCCAGGTCAATAGTTCGAACGGATGGCCCATTCTGATAAAAAAGTTTAAAAATTAAAGTAATAAACAGCAAAAAACCATTGAACAGGTTAAATGAGTTGATGATTCTTTTTTTACCAAGAACCGGGTTTGGGATAAAACGGAACCGGTTGCCTTGACAATTCCCAGGCCAAACGGTCTAACTGTCTGGGTCAATAGTGGTTTGTAAACATTGGCTCAGCATTTTAAAAAACGACCCAGAACCAGAATCATTCTGGAGACCGGTTTCTGGGTCGATGGTTCGACCATCCGGTCCGAACGAATGGCCTGTTCTGACAAAATAAATTAATAAAACAAAAAATCATTATAATTTAAAAACGATTAAAAACCATTGAACATGTCAATGATTCGACCGCCTGAACCAACGGGTCATTGACCAATTCAACGATTTTTGTCCAGAGACCGATTTGAGATAAAACAAAACCGATTGCCTTAATGGTTGCTAGGCCGAACGGTCCGACTGTCCGGGTCAATGGCGATTCGAAAACCATGCATTGGCTAAAATTCAGAAGAGGGAAGGACATGATAAGCTCATAAGTTATAAGTACCAAGTATAACGAGGAATGGCACGTAGTCGGTATGTTAGCTGGTTTGTCCAGTTTCAGTTCCCCAATCTAGGTATACCTGACACCTTTAGCAATTTAAAGCAAAATAAAACAGAAAGCAATTAATTCAGGGTCCGTTTGGTTTGTTGGAATAGGGATCTGGAATCAGAATCGGAATGGGCTATTCCGATTCCAACTGTTTGATTGGGCTGAATCGGAATCCCATTCTCATTCCTGCTGAAATAGCATTCCCCCATTTGAGAGAATGGCCATTCCCAGCTCTTCCCTTGAGAATAAAAGCCTATTCTTGCTGATTTTAATTTTCATACCCATTCCTGTCTAAACCAAACAGACTATGGAAATGAACCATTCCGATTCCGATTCCAACTACGAACCAAACGGACCCTCACTGTGGAATTCCACACCACCTCATCTGCTATCACCTAATAATCAACTTCATTACCCCCTATGAAACACCACCGACTTTAGTCATGGGCCTCATGAGTCATGGCAACTTTATTGAAAGCTAAGGATTTACAATTCTCCCAAACCATTAACTCTCCCACCTCTAATATCCATTATCGTCTTCGAATTCCATTATTTTTAAACATGCTTTCTTCCAAGTCACTAAAGTTTTTTGAAAGCATCACTTAAAATAGAGACGCCACAGTTGTACCATATATTCATGTAAAGGGCTCTTCAACTCACCAAACAGTACTCCACCGATCTATCCAAAAGGAAGCCCCATTGCAACTTCAACATGTTTCCTACTTACTAGAACCAGAACAAGCAAAAGGCATAAAGAGAAAATAAGTAAACTGGATAAAGTATGTTCATCTATAAAATCTCAGTTTTTCATCTTACATGGAGACAACTTTTTCTCAATTATTTCAAATGTTGTATCCCAAACAGTTGGGGAGAAAGATTAGCAATGAACTAATGATGGCAGGTCATTACAACCTCTATACCAAGGACCCTCGCCACCTCAAATCTCTCTCTTCTGTTCAAATTGATCGAAATCCAAAAAAAATGCCCAAAAACAGGAAGCATGCGTCTTAGAATCCATACTGCTCAGGCAAGGCCTTGCAAAAGAAATTGAATTACAATGAAAAATGAACGTGGGAGATGCTAGAATCAACATTTCAATAGCATCAACTACACTTTATTTTTCTTTTTCTAATGAAAAACAAATCATTCAAGTCAATATTAAGATAGATTATGGATCTTAACCAATGATTATACATGTATTAATGCAGATTTTCTTAAGCACAAATAAAATTGGTATCACAATAGCTAGAAACAATTGTTACTGTGAGTCAACAAAGGATACAGTCAGACAACTGAACTTCCCACAAGTACAGAATACAGCATCTCTCCTTTGTAAACCCTTCAAAATGAAGCCTAGCATGTACCAATTGGTCATCATTTTTGGCTCTGCACAAATTTCATGAAAAGCTAGGATGTTCTTTAATTTCTTGGTAATCCAGTATTCCGATTTCCACCCTGCATTAGTTGTGCAACCAATTTCATGAGAACACACCAAGCTTCAGTTAAGGGATCCAAAGAGCTCCAACTACAGGTAATGTAATCAACTATTTATATTATAAGGATTTTAGTTCATTCTTCTACTATAGTTGGTTATTGCCTGTTTGAAATATAAGTATTGCAGTAATTGCACTGTAACTAGTAGGATAATCCATAAGAAGGTTGCCAAATCCATGTGAATAATTGATTATATAAGCAAATAGATGGTGTTATAACTCCAATCAGAAATGTGAAGTCATAAAATTCAATAAATATAATCAAAGAATTCAGGCATTCTACATTATCCATCCTTCAACAACTTGGCTGCTGATTTCGTCTCCTAATTTGTTGTCCCTCTACGTATCTTACTACTTATTCTTTTAATCAACTCTGAATTCATTTAATTACTCACTCCTATTTATCAATTTGTTAGCAATGTGCTTACCCATCAAAAACAAAATGCTAGCAGTGTATTTTTCCTCCAGTAGTCCACAATACAGCATTCAATTCCTTGATTTAAGGATTGAAAGTTTATGAAGACTGTCACAGTAGTACTAGAACTCTAAAAAACAATAAAAAAAAGAAAATAGACTCGTTGAAACTAACAAATTCAAGTCAACCTAAACCACATTGTTGGGTTCCCTTCATCGTTGAACTGAAACTAAGGGAAGTAAATGAAACTTCTAAGCCCCCCAGAGGTGCAACAGCTAATAGTAACCACTTGTCTAATAGAAAATGAAGTCAAGTCTGATCTGAATGTGTGGTAGAAGAAAGAAGAGAGAAGAGTCTTGAGAGAAACAAGAAGAGAGAAAACTGTTGTGGGGAGAAGATAAACATGGGGCCGTGTGCTGCCAATTTCTTAGTTTTATTATGTCAGTTACCAATAAGATCAAAGTAGCATTTCCTAATAGATTTCTTTTCTTGATATGTAATAGAAATTTTATTTATTAATCAATAAACAGCAAAGTATACAATCAAGGCTTCCCAAACAAAGGCGCAAAATGCAGCCTCAATCACATGAGATAAATCACATTTGAGCCAAGTAAAGATACCCATTCTTGCTTAGCTAAGTAGTCTGCCATCCCATTTTGACAATCTCCTTTCCCATTGAACTCTTAAAACCATATTTGTGGTCACACATTTCCTAATAGATTCCCTAATAGAAATAAGATAAACTAGCATTTCCCAACAATAGCAGAGTCCAAACATTGTTGATTGTTCAACATACCAAAACAAGATGAGACTATTTGCACATCAACAAACCAATTGTTGTCAACTTGTCATTAACTCATACCTAGGAACACTGAGATATCGTGGATAACATCGTCAAAACTCAAAAGAAACAATGGATACAAATAAGTAAAACAAAAGAAGGGGGCCCAAAATTTTATGCGGAAAATCTGTCATAACTGTCATAACCATAGAGCATAGAAGGAAAAAAATACTAAAAGAAGGGACCGCAGAAAGAACAGAAAACTTGATAAAGCAACTCACTAGCAGTTTTTTTATAGTAAACGTAAGGGGCTACACAAGACGGGGTAGCACGTCCCCACATATCACTACAACAAATAAAACTCACTAGCAGTTTTATTTTGCAATTTAACATCAAGGGATTGGAGGAGGATAATATTAAGTAAAACAGTAAGGCTACAAAAATTTGGTGATCAAAGAAGATGTAAAACAAGGGGAAAGGCAAAGTAAGGCAAAAGATGATAGAAACCCCAGACGACCTTGTTTTTACACCCTAAACTGGTTTTCTGGTCCAAACCATGATAAGAGAGAGATTGACAGCCATTTTAGTGCACAACTGCATGTGTCAATGTCCATAAATGAAAAAATTTGGAGTCATCTTGGGAACAAAAACAAAAAGAAAATCACTCTTTTAGTTTAGAGAAGTAACCTCACTTATGCAATATCCAGAAACATCTTGTATGTCAAAACAACCATTTTTGGAGATGGGAAGAGGCAAATTGCAGAATGCCAAAAGTGTCTTTGTTACAATTGCCAATTGCAAATTACACAGATTTCTTAGAAAACTGATGTCAGAGGCCCATAGTATTACTTAATCTTATTGTCCTATAAAACCTAGACGTTGTGCTCAATGGGTTGGTCCATATTTCATACAAACCAAGATCACAACTAGTCAGCTCAAAGATCTAGATATTTAGTAAGTAGCCACTCTCAGGCTCGAACCCATGTTCTCATACTGTCAGAGAATTTAGCATGGCACCAAGTAATGGCCCATAAATGACTCTAACTGCAGGATTCCTGATAAAACAATAAATAAAACAGAACAAGTTATTCAAAACAAAACATCCAGAAGAAGGGCCCAACTGACTGTTGTATAACATAACACATGTCAGAATGGGATGCACATTTGCCTGTCTATCAACATTATCAAGCAACAAGATTTCTGGAATACTTGTTACTTCACAGAAAATGGAAATTAACAATCTAAAACAAGATAATCCTTTCCTTTGTTCTTCATAAGCCAGCAACATGCATAGGAACATGTGTAAACCTATGTTACCTAGATGTGAACAATGACACAGACAAAGATACTAGATGCAGCATTTCATAAGATCCCAGACATATAAAGGTAAAGTTATCCCATTTAACATGCTTATATCATGCTTACATATCTAGGTAAAACTGTAAAATCTATCACTAGACAAAATTTAACGTATACATATTTTTTATAGTATAAATGTATTTATTCATATATATATATATATATATATATATATATANATATATATATATATATATATATATATATATATATATATATATATATATATATATATATATACTAAAACACAGCAGTCTATAAATTTTCTCCTTTTTTTTATTTTTTTTTATTATTTTATTCCATGTCATTTTTTAAACAACCAATGAGATGCTTTCCTTCCCCATAAAAGATTTATATTTATCTAATGAAAGTTTGAATTAAAAAATATAAAAATTATTTAAATTTTCTAAAGAAATTATGTAATTATGTAAAAACTTTTAAAAAAATCTTAAAATTAGAAAACTAATTATAACATAATATTCAAATAAATAATAAATTTATATTTTACAAAATTAATAACGAAATTATGTAGTAATAGTATAAATTACAATTTTATGGATTATTAAATTCAATAAATAATTAATATTTTAAATATTTAAAAGATGATATTAGTTAAATAAGTAAATAATATTGTAAATTACTAATTTCACTTATATCAATTAATAATTCTAGAAAATAATTTTCAAAAAATTAATATTTACTAATAATAATTTTTAAATCTTAATCTATATTTATTATATGATTATGTATACTAAAATTAATATTTATTGTATTTTAGGTAATTATTTATTGTTTTTTGATAAATATATTTCCAATAATCATGTATAAATCTATTTTTCTTTTGTTATTTAACAGAAAATTTTCAATAATTATTGGAGATTAAACTACTACTATTTAACTTTTCAAGTTTACTTTATTGTACTTAATGTATTCATTGAATTTTTGTTATAATTTATTGATTAATATTTATTAGAGATTAAACTATTATTTGAGATTACACTATTTATTGACTAATTTACTATATTTTTTAGTATTTATCGTATTTTTGTAATTATTGTATTTTCATTATCAATATATTTTCAATAGTTGTGTATTACCGCTATAAATTTTCAATAATTATTGGAGATTAAACTATTGTTATTTATTAGAAATTAAACTATTAATTTAGCCGAAATTAGGAGTGTTCACAAGTTGGTTTGGTTCATTTGTAAGTTATTTGGCCAATTAAATCGGCCTGGTCAGGTTGGAGAGTTGGTCACCTGAAACCGACTAACCATTAGTGAAAACAAGAAAACTCGGGTTGTATCAATTTGGGTTGATTTTTGGTTTGGTCGATCGGTTCAAAAGATTTAAACGTAAAAATTTAAATTTAAAAACTATAGTGGCATTATTAAAAAATAAATTTATGATATAAAATATTTTAGACTAAGAAATATGGGAATTTTCTCACCTTCCCATATTAAAAAAAAATATATTAAAAATATAAATATTAATATATATCTATGGCCAGGCCATTTGGTTTTGGTCGATTTACAAATAGCCAAAGCAAAACTAATCCAACCTGGTCAGGTTGGGAAATTGTTGAACCAAAGCCGACCGGAAATACTAGAAAACCAGTTGAGTTGGTCAATTTCATCAATTTGATGAACAACCCTAGTTGAAATTAATTGTTGTTATTTTTGTATTATAAAAAAATTATTAGAAGTAGTATATAAAATATAAGGGAAAGCCTATGATGTGGGAAAGATGGTATCTGAAGAGTTTTGACCAATCAAAATCTACCCATGAATTTTGATAAATAACATTTGATTGGCTACCACGTTTACGATACCAGTTGATTGGTCAATTATTTTTCAAATATCATGATCTTTCCCATATTATAGTCGAACACAAAACATAAATAATTATTATTTATTTAAAAAGTTGAAAATATAAAACAATTGTATATTGTTATGTGTTTCTATTGTTTAGGTTTTGCTTAACAAATCTCGTGCATCACATAGGTCCCCAGTATCATAGGTGCATATTAGGACCACTACTTAACCCAAAAAAAAGATAATCAGCCAATAGAAAATACCATGTAACCTCCAAGCTGAAGGACTTCAATATGAAAGTCTGAGAAAACATATAGAAACAAGCCAATAGAGAGTAACACGCAACCTCCAATCTAATGGACTTCACAATTCACATGAAAGCTCCCAATTACACACGCAGAAGGACCTATAGAAGCAATCCCTAAAATACACCTGAAATTGAATCCTCTTCATCCATTCACACTCCATCTAGGGCATATCCTCTGGCCAAAGAATAAATGTGTCCATATGCAGAAGCTAATATCAAACTCAACTTGGTTCAATGCTTAGACATCGATTGGATAGCCCACCTCAATAGAATAAATGTGTATAGATTTCTTTTTATTTACTGATGCTTAACAGTGAAAATTACACATAGAACACATACATCCTTCAGTAAGTATGCTCCTTTACAGATAGGTATGTATATTGGACAACCTCATTAAAAAATCCAGATGGAGCAAGTGATCACAATGAACTTTCCTAATTGTTCCACAGCTTCACACATCAACTGTTCACTACAAGATTCTGAACAGAGCGTGCAACTTGGATGGACATGGTCACTGGCTCAGACAGATCATGACTTAGAGTTTTACAACTCCAAAACCCTCAGTACAAGTTCTCAATCAGGTGATGCTACCTCAAAGGCAATGGGTCAGAAGAGTGCACCAACAAGCTATGTGCCCAACAAGATTTTGGCATCTGATTAGAACTGTTTGTTCAAATGGGAACATAAATCTGCAAACAGTCATGCTGATTTGTTAGAAAGAGACAGTTTTACGAGAATGGAATTATTGCAAGGAGCCCCATGCCCGGGTTCTATTTTGTAAATTGTAACAACTATGAAAGACGACCCCTTTTTTCTTTCTTTTTTTCTTCACTTTGCCCAGATTTTGCCTGTCAGTGTTGTATCTGATCCTCATGACCCTGCTACTGATTTAATTTGAATCATCATGTAATGTTAATGATCGAAAAAGGGTATATATCTTCTGTTATTCTTCTTTATAAATTTTATTTTATTACCAAAAAAAATAACTCAGGGCAGGCTTCAGGATGTCCAAAAGGACAAAACAAACTGCTAGAATCTTCAAGAGAGTTCACAGGCCTTCAGAGATGTAAAATGGGCTAATGAGGACCAACACAGCACTACAACATTGGCAACAATGAAAAGGACTAAATAGGTTATCTCGTCCCATGGCCTTGATGTTCATTTATGCCTATCTTTCTTTCTTTCTTTGGTTCCTCTTTTTTTTATGAGCTCAATTATGCCAATAATAGGTTTTACTATGTCTCATTACCCAGCTCTAGGAAACCCCTGTGGTAGGAATAGGATAGGAAGCAATATCATTCCCAGATATGTACAGAATCTCTCAAAAGCATTCTCAAGATTAAAGACCAAACATTAGGCCCTTTTTTGATCAGTAAAGAAAATTTTATTAAGATTTTGTACAATTAGGGTGGAACATTCCACAATCCATGATTACAATATAAACCACACTTTTGCCCAAAACAAATGCTGTCTATTAACCCCCTATTTTTTTTCTGGTGAATCTACCATTCCATTCGAAGCTTCTTCTCACCCAAGTAGGAGGAATATTCAACTCCTTTGATAAGCATTTTATCTCCCTAAAAGCATGCTTATGTATCCAAGGCACTGGACTGTTACTCCATATCCAAGATAATACTAATTTTGAATCCCCTTCTACTTCCAACTCTTGAAAACCAAGATGCTTTGCTAATCTTAGTCCTTGCAACAAAGAAGTAAAAAACCTTTTAAGTGCCATCTACTTTATGGAAGTTAGCAAGTAGTAATAACCTTCAATGATTAAACGATTAAGTTCCCTAAAATGTTAAACAAATTTCTCAATAAGAAGACAGTCATGAATCAATGTTATTATTTTTCAATGTTATAAGCTGTTTCTACAACACGAGCAAGACATTCCAAAATCACCAATTGGACAAGCCTGTTGCTACGAGAGTACAAGTTCCCATCCCTGCCAATGTAACGACCGAAGCTGCAACAGAGAGTATAACTTACTCCACAGGAATTTAGGAATTCCATAATATATTACATAGCTGCACAGCTTGTTCGTTAACATTTGAGGACTGGAGGATAATTTATAGCTGCAAGATTACATCACTACTTGAATTTCCCTTCTACTCCATAACTGAACGAAGGGGAAGAAGCCAAACAGGATGGATGATTTTACTGTACCAAATGGAGTAGAACTCAATCATCATTGCCGTCGACGTACTCAAACTCATCCTCCTTGAGGTGGGCGAAGAATTTGACAGTGCCACGGCCTTCAATCTTGGTAACGAACTCAACCTTGAAAGGGAGATTGGCAGAGATGCGATTCCCCTTCCAGAGGCCAACGTATTGCTTGAGCTCCCCTTCCATTCCTGTGAGATCGAATTCGGGGACTTTGGGGATGTGATACACCTTTAGCGGCACCTTAACCCTAACCCTAGCCCCGATCTTGGCGAGGCTCGACTCTTCCTCCTCTGCTGCAGCCGACGAGGCAGACGCTACAGACGCTGAAGAAGAAGAAGGGGAAGAGGCATCTACAGTGGCGGAATCGGGCTTAAGAGCAATCTCGCAAGAGATCACCCTCTGGCGGCCAAGCTTTCCAATGGTTTTTCTCCCTTTACCATAAGAAATCGAACTTGCGAGAAATGTAACCCGCTGGCAGTGATGGTGGTTGGAGGGGAATGAAAGAGAAGAGAAGATCGCGTTGGATTGATGAGCGAAGGAGGTGGAAGACGCAACAGAATTCATGGCGGTTCCTTCTTCTCTTCTTCTTGTTCCTTCTTCTTGTCTCAGATGTTATGTCTGAAGGTACGAAGTGGTTGTTTCTACCCGCAGAAATGAGGGAGGTAGCGGCGGTCGCGTGCCCGTGGAGTCTTTTGGTCAGACGAGGAAAGGGCGTGCGTGTGGTTTGGATAAAAAGGATCAGGGGAGAAATCCGCTGCTCCCATTGGAGTAGCGCTGGACTAAAACTGTGAAATCTCGGCCGTCGATGCATTGTACGACTCCATCTTACGTCCTTCATCCAATTCAAAGGTGGGCCACGTCAATGCATCGAGTGGCCGTGATTCACGGTTTTAGTGCAGGGACAAAAAAACCAGGTTTGTTTAAAGGAATCGAAAATAAACAAAGAATCTTCCACGTGGCTGGATGTGTGGGACAAAAGTGGCCACGTGTTTATTTCGCAACCATCTACTCAAGATCAAATTTTAGTTCTAGAATCGGAAAAATAACTGCTTTACCGGTTCACAACCGGTTTAACCAGAAATGTAATATTGTAAGCGAGGAGTTTCTGTACAAGCAAAAACTCAAGACCCACTAGGTAGGAACATGATCTTTAGATATTATAAACACTGATTTTAATTTTTTTTTTTTTTTTCACATGGACCGGTTCTTGGTTGCAAGAGATTCGGGCTCAATATGTAATTAGTCAGACCAGGAAAAAACTCTATTGGTTCAACCAATTTGGAGGGCCCCTAATCTGATGTGGACAGTTTAGATTGACCACACCAGTCCACGTGGTAGAGATGTGGAGTTTGTAGTTATATAAATAGGAGAATCGGGATCACCTACCAATTACCAATGAAATATGTTCCAACATCCTTCCAACATGATGTATGACATCATATGATAAGTATTAGAAATACGGGAGATGGTCCAAATGCACGCTTAGATATGGTTGTGGAGGCGCCTATCTGATCTTCACATCTGATATATGGTAAGAGTCTCATAACAAGATGTGCTTATGTCAAATGAAGTTGGGAGAGTGTTAGAACGTGTTTTATTGGCAGGTGATCCCAACTCATATAAGGAAGCTTTAATTGACCCGATTGGATTAGGCCTTTGTTGTGAATTATGAGGATGAGACATGAAAAGGTTATTTTGTAAAGAAATATTATTGTGGCTGCAAAATGGATGAGGAATGAGAGGTGAGAAAGAGAATGGGGGGAAACAAGTAGATTAGGACAGACGTTGGCACTTTGTCAAATCCCTAAAAATCTACAAACCTTGCAACGCGTCGCCCAGAAAAGAGAAACTCCAATTGGATTGGATATTAAGAGATTAGATGAGAGGATAGGAGACTGTGACACTATTGACCCAGGAAACGAACAAGTAGAGCTCTAGAATGAAATCTGCGTCGGCCATCACTCACCATGCCCTCAAATATCAGAACTATCAGTGTCTATGGTATGATATTTATTATTTCTGGTAAGCTAGTGTAATATCACGTGCATGAAAAAGGGTCAAGGTAAATATCCCGAGGTAACGTATAATAATTTTCAACATTTCATATTTTTTTAATTCTTTTAGCCTTTTAGGGCAAATGCTAGTATGTGAAAGTGAAACTTTATGTTATAAAAATCAAATTATAATCACCTAGAATTTGGGATCTTCTTGCAAAACACATGTCAACATGATCCAACCACTAGAACCCATCATAAAAGTGTGTCTCAAGGTTTTAAAAACCAACTCAGAATGAGAATCATTTTGGCCATTGGTTTTTTGGGTTAATAATTTGACTATTCAGTTCGGACGAACGGTCTGTTTCAATGAATAAATAAAAAATAACCAAAACTGTTAAATGGGTTAACGGTTCAATTGCCTAGGTCAAAGGTTTAATTGCCTAGGTTAATGGGCCGTTGATCAATTCAATAGTTTTTCGTCAGAGACTAAGTTTAGGATAAAACGAAACTAGTTGCTTAACGTGTTTCCAGGTCGAACGGTCTGATTGTCTAGACATTGATGGGATCTGTTATGTATGCGATATATAGTGTCAGATTACATTGGTAGGGTGTTAATATATTTTGTTGGTACAAGACCTATGCTTGGCTATACAACCCTTTTTGTATTTTCATGCGAGCCACTTTTGTAACTTTTGGATCCCACTTTTATTAATGGTTCTCATGTAATGAGAAGGCTAAGGCTTTTTTAGGGAAAATTCCCAATCAGTATCTTGTACTTTGGCTCGAGTGATAATTTGGTCCCCGAACTTTAAAATGCAACAATTTAGTACCCATACTTTCAAAATGTGACAATCAAGTAGACTTGTTCATGGGTCGGGTAGCCCGACCCCTGGACGGGCTTGCGCATGGATTTTAGCCTATGGACTTGACCTCGGGCCTAAAAGCCCGAGCCCAATTATTTTACAGGCCAGGCTTGGGATTTGTCACAAAAGCCCGAACCCAACTATTTTACTGGTCGGGCTCGGGATTTGTCACAAAAGCCCGAGCCCAACTATTTTATGGGTCGGGCTCGGGATGTCACAAAGCCCAGCCCGACATTTTGTATTTTATTGTAAACCCTAACCAATTAACCCTTTCCTATTCCCTCTTTTCATCTTTTATCTTCTCTCATCACTCTCACTCTCAAGAACCGGTGCGAACTCAGGCAAGCAGCCATCGTTCTCAGTCTCAGAGGCAACAGGCGAACTCAGGCACTAGTCTTCTCTCTCTCTCTCTCTCTCTCTCTCTCTCTCTCTCTCTCTCTCTCTCTCTTAGTTCTCATTCTCACACATTGTTGCATATTCATAAGAACCAGCAAACTCAAGCACCAGCGAACTCAGGCATCGGCACCAGCCGCGCCACCAGTGAACTCAGTCGCCCCTCTCTCCGGTAGTGAGTCCTACATTTCTCAACATTGTACAAATCATGCATTTCAACCTCTGTTAGGTCGGGCTTCAGGCTCGAGCCCAGGCTTTGGTCTTTTTATGAGGGTCAGGGTTGGGCTCGGGCTCAGGCTTGAAAAAATCCTATTAATGAAGAGCAAAAGCCCAGCCCAACCCAACCCGTGAACAGGTCTACAGTTAAGTACTTGAACTTTCAAAATGTGACAATCCAGTACCTATTGTTAACTAGTCTGTTAATCATCCATTAAGCGACATTTGAAAAGTCAAAAATGCCCTTCGTATGCTATCTAATTCTCTTTATCAACCATCCAAACATTAATAAAAAATGAATAGTCCCAAATTCTAGATTCTTCTAAACAGTCACCAACATTTTTTGAATAGAAGAGGCTAAGATTTGAGATTGTTCAATTTTTTGTCAATGTTTGGATGGTTGTTAAAGAGAATTAGATGGCATTAGAAGGGTATTTTTGACTTTTCAAATGTCACTTAACGGCTGATTAACGAACTGGTTAACGGAAGGTATTGAATTGCCACATTTTTTATTTTTCAAATGTTACTTAACAGTTGATTAACGGACTGGTTAATAGCAGGTACTGAATTGTCGCATTTTAAAGTTTTTTTTTTGGTAATAGAAAATGAGATTTCATTAAATTTTATGGAGGATATCTCATTGGATAGTCATTTGGCAGGATTTGCATTAACCAGGAAGGCATATTCATTCTTTCACAAAGATTAATGTTAAGATGCCAGGCTTTAATAGCTAGGTGGTGAACTGCACTGTTCGCTCTTCTAGAGATACTGATTACCTTGCTGTCCAAAAATCTTTCTCGCAGAGATTTGATATCACTTAATAATTCTCCTGTAGAAGAAAAACCGGATGAAGCCTCATGATTGATAGCCTTAAAGAAATTTTCTGAATCAAGTAGGAAGGAATTTTGAAGTCACTTGAGCCAAAGTACATGGTCCTTTTTTTATACTACATATTTCCTACATGCTAGTATGATACTTTTGATACTTCAAAGCTTAACATCTGTTCTAGAGATGAATACGAATTTCGTCCTCGCACCCACCTCACATCACATTGCAACCACACATCGAGAACATCATGTTTTCATTTTGAGATGCTCCCAATGCAGGGCTACAAGTCCTATGAGCTAGGTGTGTGAAGTGGGGACCATTCTGTGACAAAGAAATCCAGATTTATCCTAATTTTAGAAACTATCATCCCTCTTAATCGCAGGAAACACAGTTTTTGCACATCACGTGTCAATACTGTGAACCATGGGTTGGGGATAAGGTTTATAGCTTCTGTCACCGCCAACAGGAAAGGGATTGTGATGGATACACAACGCAATCCAGAGAAGTGGTTTGAAACATGCCACACGCCACCACCCTTGATATCTTGTTGACTGTTGGGTATGGGTCGGGTCAGGCATGGAGCTTGATCCATCAAACCCAATTACTAATTGGATACCTTGGATTGCATTGCATTACTCTGGTAGTCTAGTTCTTGAAACAGTAAGTTGAGCACTTGAGCCAACCCAGGTCCAGTTGGGAAACTAAACCCGTACCCTGCCATATCAACAACATATGGAGCAGAGATAAACCAACAATACCCAGATGGCTGGATGGAAGCTTTGACTCCTTAACAATTCACATACTTTGTTGCAAGTTGCAAGTTGCAAATAAGGATTTGAAAAAAGAAAGCTTGTGTGAGGCATTAAAGGAAGAGAAAAAAATATAGTACAAATATTCTTGAGTACCTTTCTGAGGTACTGAGATGAATATCCATATCAATCATGCATTAATACCATAACTTCAGACCTGTCTGCCCTTCAGTTTACAAAGACATCCAGTTGTGTGAACTTGAAGCCCAAACCAATATAGTTCCTTCCTTTTCTTCCTTTTTATCCTTTTTCATTCCCATAATTTACTATTTATCCACAATATTAAAAGAAAACGGAGCACATATACAAAGATAGACATGAGATGAGGATAACTCCTATGAGTTAGATTAGAACGTAGATAGAAATAGAGATTTGTCAGCACATTTAAATGACTTTATCAGACATTTGCATAATTACATTGTGCATGCATTCCCTAGTTTTTTTTTTCGCTCAACCTTAGTTTTAACATAAGAAAATTAGCCTTTGTCTTCCCAGATACAGTGTATAGCGTGATCACTTGTTCTTACAGTTTTTTGAGCAGCTCAAATATAGATCCAAGTATCCAACTTGCCAGTAAACAAAGTGTAAAATCCAAGAAAACTAAATGCTCAATAAACCACACAAATGATCATCCCACATCTTAGTTGCAATCATGTCCTAGTCCCGCAACTAGGAAGTCCTCTGGTTATCCCTCTTCAAAAACAGTATCTGAAACTTGAGTTTCAATCATTGTCGTTACTCCTGCCTCAAACTCCCAAGCTGCTTCTATCTATGATCCAGTTTCTTGTTCATACATTAGAAAGCCAATAATACCTTGTCCTTTCTAGATAAAATTACATATGGCACATGCTGCTACCACTAGCTTTACCTGTAACGGGCAGGGAGGAACCAACGTCAAAATAGGGAAACATAAGACACAAAAAATGTGAGAAGTGTCATTTTTTACAAGGTAAATAAACCTAACACTACAATTTAAAATGTAAATCAAGAAGAAAAGTTATCAAGTAGTATGAAATAAGTTTTTAAGTTCATCTCAATCTGAAATCCTTGCACACTGGAAACATTTGAAACTAGGCACCAAATGAGAAACATTGTGAGTCAATTACAGTATGTATGCATGTACAATAAAGAAAAACCTTGCTTAGGTTAGTCAACAAGGTTTTCGTTGAATTAAAAAAGTGTAGATATATTAATTTTCCATGACTCAGAACACTGTGATAGAACCATAAAGACATGATTGCAATTTGTCATCTATCTGAGGCAAGGTTACCCACATTTAGGTGCAAATACAATGAATAAAATACAAGGTATCTTTTTCTTTTTCGAGAAAAGGTAACTTTCATTAAAAAGAAAGGGGAGAGATATACAGGATGTATAAGAGATACATCAATCAGGTACTAAAAAAAAACCAAAAAGCCTTCCTTACCCATTAAAACGGAAGCTCTATATTGCTGTACAAAAAATCCCTGCCCACCCCAGATTTAGCAAGAGCATCTGCTACTGAGTTCAAATTCCTTGGAATCCACCTGAAGACACAGTGTAGCTGCAATTGGATAACCCTGATTTCATTGATCTGATGAGAGAATCTCCAAGGTCCCTCCTGCTGATTTAACTACACACCTCAGCTTCAACAGCTTCAGCCTCTCCAATGGGTCCACTATAGGCCCAAACTTGAGTGCCTAATGAAGTGAGAATTCTGCAACATATTCCTGCTTGACCTCTGTGGCTAAGTCTACTTAAGCAACTGCCATCAAACTGGAGAACGAAATCTGTAGGGGGTCTGGTGGTCATAGGAACTGTGTGAATTCTATCAAAACTTGAAGAACTCAGAACCAGCCCCAAATTTCTTTCCAAGTCTCCCATTGAAATGCCTCTGAACATACTAGAAACCTTCATCCAGGAATTAATTTGAAAAAGCACCCTTCCTTTTAACTCATCCAGGGAGGAGTACTTATCTTCAAAGATTCTTTTGTTACACTCCTCCCAAATGCACCAGCAAACTGCATGGACGATCGCCTTTCCGTAAAGAGCAGCTCTTTTACTTGAGGTACACCCAGGCCATTGTTAAAGGTCAGACATCATTTTGGATGTCACAAAGAGAAGAAAGTGTGAAAATGAGGTGTCAAATGGCTTAAGATATGTCTCATATTCAGTATTACTTACACCTATACATCTGCCTTCAAAAATTACTGACCCTGCACACACATGGATTTGGGACATAGGTTGAATATAGTGGTCCAGGAACCTAATGCCCAGCCATATGTTGTATATTCTGTAAATAAATACCTACCACAGAGCTAGTCATACCTATGTATTTATTGTATTTATTCCAATCGTTGTGAAGACATAGTTAATGTCAAGGATGCCTTGAATACGAGGCAAAGATTAGATGGATAAAATCCATCTCATCATCATCATCATCTAATCCTTGTCCCAACCATATGGAGCCAGCTACATGAATCCTGTTTTGCCATTCTGTTCTGTTCAGTGCCAAATCCATCTGAAAAAGTTAACTTTTTTTATTGGAAAAAGTTGACTTTGCTCTAATTGTTCTCCTAGGTTTGGACCATCTAAATGGTCACTGCAGATCCTCTTAGATAAATTAAATGGGAAATTACTGGTTTGGATTCCCAAGTAAAAATAAAAACATGGAAAATCCGGATATAATTCAATATTTTGCTTTTACACTTAAAACTATTTCTAGAATTAGATGTTCACAAAATAAAAAGAAAACAAAGAAGATGGTTAGTTTTACCAGAATAACAATGACAGAACATCACATGATACTCCATTTCATTATTTCTTTCATTTGGGAATGGTTCTTCCCCCTTTTAAGTTGCACATGGACAGTGCCTACGAGTATGCCCATCTTGTTCAGTGAAGGAACTTTTACATAGCCAAGGATTAAGGAAGAGGATCATATGGTTCTTCCTCTTTTTAGTTGCACGTGGACATTTGCCCCTTTTCATATGATGATTTGAGGAAAAAGTGGGAAGAAGTAGCTGCAACATCTTCAAGAAAAACAAAGGCACCAAAGCCAATGGACACCAACTGAAGGAGACTTAAATTAAATTTCAATGCTAGCAGCTTTGGAACCCCAGGTCCCTCAGGAGTGAGTGGAGAGTTTAGAGATAAAGATGGCCATATTGCAGCTATGTTCGCAGGCCCAATCAGTTTTAAGGATTCCATAAGGGCTGAACTCCATGCTATACTCCATGGAATCCAACAGGAAAGAGATATGAATTTAGATAAGCAAATCATGAAGGGTGGCTCCAACATTGTGGTTGGATGGCTGAAGAATATTTTTTTTCTTTTTGATGAATAACAGAATGTGATTTACTAAATTAATAAAGAAAGTGTACAAAGAGGAAAAGGGAGAGATAAACTCTCTTAGCTCTCCCAAGTACAGATACAGACAATATAATTACAATACAGCCCAAAATAAATGACCCCCCCCCTGCTTTGCTAATGTATCAGCAAAGGAATTAGAATTCCTCTTCACCCATTGCACATTGATTTCCATTCCTAGAGACAGCCATTTACTCATTTTCTCATTTATATAGCACCAACATCCAGCCTCCTCTTCTGCAACCACTCAATAACTAACTTTGAGTTCCCCTCAATTACTAATTACTAGTGTCTGCATGTTCAGCTCTCTAGCCTTTCAAAGACCTTCCAGCACAGACATTATTTCAGCCCTCAAAGAATCTCCAACACCAACTAATCCCAAGTAGACAGCAATGATTCTTCCTTGACACTCCTTGGACCCTTAATACTCGTGGGGATCTAGCAATTAGTCTAGGAGGCAATACTGAATGTGGAGATGGTTAGGGTATCAAAGCTGTTAGTCGATGCTCAAGATTGTTAAAGAAGTCTTCATGGAATCGATTGATGGTGCCCTGGAGAGGGTGAGATGGTCAGAGAAGTGCCTAGTAGGTCCTTTTTCCCATTCTGATCCTGACAAAGTCAAGGTTCTAAGATGGGTCAGATCAAAGTGAAACATGAAAGAGAAAGTCCAAGTGAAAAAAGTTAAACGCAGGGTTTTTTTCTCTTTGTCTTGAGTAGCAAGGAGGAGGCATCCGTTAGTGGCAGTAATCAGAGAAGTAGGTTCAAAGAGCCTCATGTGGATCAATGTCTTCAGAATTCCTCTCCATGCCTGGAATTTACAAACTTTATGCGATGGGAAATGCTTGTGGCTCCTTCAAGAAAATTAATGCTTGCACATACTGGATGAAGAACCTAGTTTCAGCAAGAATATTGGTCGAAGTTGAGGAGGTTCATCCGGTTCCTTCATGACTTGTGTTGAATTTTGCAGGGGAGTGGTACAATCTAAGGCCGGTGGTTGAGGGTTGCATCCTGTTTCGATGGATGGAGGAGAATCCAGCTTTTATGCTTTGCTGTGCTCAGGTTTTCAATTGCCTATCAGAAATAGGAGGGGAGACGATTGTGTAGGAACTCAGGGGGTTGGAGGAAGACGGTGAAAGTTGAAAGGTCGATAGTGTGGACAAGCTCACTAAGGATAGAGTTGGAGATAAGGAAAGGGAGGTAAAAGAAGAATTTAGGGGAAGGAAGCGAAGAGCCTTTGAGTAAGGAGGGGCACGTGGTGGGATAATTTAAGGGGGAGGTATTCAAAGAGACCGGAAGGGCTTCTTTGAGATTGGGTGGGAAACAATTAATTGGTGGGGCCTACCTGAGGAGAAGAATGCTTAGGCCTTTGGGCATTCAATTTCATAAAGATAGGGGCTTACATGTGAAGTTTTTAAGTAATTTAAAGAAGGATGGGCCGGAGATAAAGTTAGAGATGAGGTCAGATTTCAAGGGAGAAAAGAAGAGGGCAGGTGATGGGTGGACCCAGAGCAATGAGTTCTTTTGAACATTTGGTAATTGCAAGCACAGGCCTATTGGAGATTTTTGTCAATGGCACTTCAGCAGGTGTTGAAATCTCTGTGATTCGCAAGCCATCTTCAAGGCCTGAGAACATTCCCCTGGCCAAGCTGAACACATACAATTCTTCTGACTCTACCAGTGGGGGGCCAAGTACAATCTCTCTTGCTCCTCCGAAATTATGCCAGCAAAATAGGGTCTTAGGTACATTTCTGATTAGGAGAGGTTCAGCAGATTTGGAGGTGGAAGTTGGGGAGGATAGTGGAGCGAGGGGAGAGGAGTTGGTGAACAGAGAATTTAAGAATAGGGAAGGGGAAGGCAACAAGGAAGAGGGAGACAACATAGAAGGAGGAGAGAGTTAGAAGGTAAGCACCGTCAAAAAGTTGCCTCATGGTGTTAAGGTAGGGGTGACTCTGGTTCTTCAGCTTCTGAAGTGGTCGTTGGAACTTGGAAGACGGGGTGTTGATTTGGATCGCAGAAGGAAGGATAATGATTGGGTTGAAAGTTGAAGGAAGGTTCAGTTACATCTCTATTTTCTGGCCCAACTGGTGTTGGGGACTCAATGAGAGCAGAAATCTTGGCTTTGATGGAGGATGTGAAAAGGGCTACAGAACTAAATATTAACAGGTTGATCATTGAAGAAGACTCAAAAGTGGTAATAGGATGGCTAGGGAAGGAAGATGATGGACTTTGGACATACAACAATGAATGAAGACAATTCAAGTGGCTAACTCAAGGTATGGAAGTGAGATTGCAGTGGGTTAAAAGATGTGCCAATTCATTTGCTGATGCACTTGCCAAACAAGGGGTGGGAAGAAATCATTTGCTTTGGGCTACATTGTAATTTTTCCCTTTGGGGGAGAGTTAAGAGAGTTTACCTCCCCCACTATTGTATTTGAATCTTATCTTTGTTCTCCTTTAATGAAATCCTTCAGTTATTGATCAAAAAAAATAAAATAAAATAATGATTGGGTTGAAAAGGAT